GTGCTGTCCTTCTGAGATACAGTGATTTAAAAACTCCTCCTTTTGATTTTGAAGCGTGCAGTGCTCAGTTTATTCAACAAAGTCAAAGCCTTTTGGAAAATCTATTTGTGCCAGTAAGCAGTGTTGGGGAAAGTTACTTTTAAAGGGTTAGTTCACCCAAAAATTACAATTAGGATGTGTTTTACTTACCCCAGAGCCATCCTATGTGTATATGACTTTCTTCTTTCAGCTGAATCCAGTCGAAGTTAGATTAAAAACTGCCCTGGCTATTCCAAGCTCTATCATTGCACTCAGTGGGTGTTGCAGTGCTTCAGTCCAAAAGAAGTTAAATAAAAAGCGCCCATCCATAAAAAAAAGTGTCTCACACGGCTCCGGAGGGTGAACAAAGGCCTCCTGTAGTGAATCGATGCGTTTTTGTAAGAAAAATATCCCTGTTGTAAACGGAAGCAGCTCCGGGCGCATGACGTATGAGGTCAGCGCTGCGTATGCGCCGCTCAGAAGTGACGAGCGTGGAAACGCAGCGGAGAGATCAAAACAAAACAACGGTCACGAATTAGAAGTACAAAACGAGGATTTGTAAAGAAGAATGTCGGAGGATTTCGATATAAGCCAAGAGGAGACTAGTATTTCTTTGCTAAAGTAAGGAAACTTTGCTTCCTTTGCTCCTGTTAACAAACGTTGGTTTTCACGAGACTCACCGGCGCATGCGCAGCGCTGAACTCATACGTCATCCGCCCGGAGCTGCTTCTGTGTACAACAGTAAGCGCAAGCTAGTTTAAAGTGATTATTACGTTTTGAATATGGATATTTTTCGTACAAAAATGCATTGATTCGCTACAGGAGGCTTTTGTTCACCCCCCGGAGCCGTGTGAGACACTTTTTTTAATGGATAAGTGCTTTTTATTTAACTTCTTTTGGACTGAAGCATGCAACACCCGCTGAGTGCCATTAAACAGCTTGAAAGATCAAAGACCATTTTTAATATAACTCCGACTGGATTCGTCTGAAAGAAGAAAGTCATATACACCTAGGATGACTTGAGGGTGAGTAAAACACAGCCTAATGGTCATTTTTGGGAGAACTAACCCTTTAAAAGGAATGTATTACAATATTGCGTTACTCCATAAAAAAACAAAATAACACTGTTACTTAATAGATAGTTACTTTTTATGGAAAGTAATGCGTTACTTTACTTTTGCGTTACTTTTTAAATCTGGACAGGGCTTGCATGTTTGTTTTTAAAATAAAAAATTAATATTTTTGGCAAATATAAAAGCCTTTTCACACCAGAAGTGAAGTGAATGCGCCTCAGGCTGAAGGGAAAGTACATTTACGTCCGTACAGTAGAATGCAGAAGAAGACATTTCAACACACTTCAGCAATAAAAAAAAAACACACAGTTGTTTGTCTAGAGTAATGTGTGCTTATTAGTACGCTTGAACTGGATCATCGAAGGTCAGAAGCAAAGACATTGGTTAATAGAATGGGATTAAATACATAAAGGATATTTGTGTTGTTTAACATTTAATTATTGCAGGTTTGCGTCATATTCTGAGTTGCATTATTTTTATTCATTTTGAGGAATACTGAATCTGTGTTTTTGTGAGTGAGATGAATTAATGCATATTCATATTTATTTTAGAGCTACAGTAACATCTTCTGATGTCTCTCAACATGGCAACACCAGAGCTGTCAGTCAATAAATTGGAAAAAAATAGTATTATTATTATTTGAAAAAGTAACTCAGATATTCTCTTGTAAATTAAAAAGTGATGCGTTACTTTACTAGTTAATTGAAAAAAATAATCTGATTACGTAACTCATGTTACTTGTGCGTTACCCCCAACACTGGTGGTAAGTTTTGCTATTGTGGCAGGCTGCCACAAATAAATCAGTGTATGGAAAACATTGCATCCCACAGCACAACAACCTGAGCCCAAACTTAAGTCTACTCATCACTTTAACTGCGTTTGTAGTCGGCGCCACTAGCAGACCGATAAACAAACACAGACCGGAAGTTAACTTTGGGCCAGGCGTGTGCGTCCGATGAAACTGTCTATAGGACGATGCTGTCGCCAGTGTTGGTGAACGTTACTTTTAAAAGTAAAGCATCAGAATATTGTGTTACTCCATAAAAAGTAACTAATTGTGTTACTTTTTATGGAAAGTAATGCATTACGTTACTTTTAAATAACTTTTTCTCAAGGCTTGGCTTGCTTGTTTGGTATTAATATAAAAAGTTATATTTTGGGCAAATGTAGAAGCCCTTTTACACCACACATAAACTAATACACCTTTGGCTGAAGTTAATGTAAATTCACGTCTGTACAGAACAAACCTTTCAGCTGCTGCTGTTCTGGATTACATGAAGAACAGGACGCAGGAGAAGAAAGTCCAACACTCTTCAGCAATAAAAATGGAACACAAATATTATGGTTATCTAAAGTCATTTTTGCTTATTAGTATGGTTGATTTGGATCATCGAAGGTCAGCAGCAAAGACTCTGGTTAATAAAATGGGATTAAATACATAAAGGATATTTGTGTTATTGAACATATTTAATTATT